CCACGTGCGGGTCCCCACTACGCACGTAGAACCTGGCAATTCCTCCATTGGGCCAAACCTGCCCGGCCCAATGAAGGAACCTTGGCCCAGCGCTGGGGGCTATAAATACCCTCTGCTTCCAGAGGGTCAGGTATTCATCATTCTAACCTTGCACTTGCTATTATCTGCTCGTACTCCTACTTACTTCAGCATCGGAGTGCCTTGCAGGTACCCCCCCCCCCCCCCCCCCCACTTTGTTCAAAAAGCTTTCTGCTCGGAGCCAGCCGTGACGGTCCATTTCTGATCAGGTCAGATCACAATCCTTACAATCAAATCCTACTTCAAATCACTTATCACAATGATAATTGATTGGCTCACAGTAGTTACAACTATACAGTCCCTTATTGATCTTCTGTCAAAAAGTATCTTTCACCAACAGTCTTCATGAGGAATATATAGCCATTTATTCTTCTGTTAGGGCTTCCACGAAAATAGCTAGGGTTAATTAGGGTTAACCTCAAGACTTGGTCATAGGTCTTTAACAACCAGATTAGGGTTAAGCATAGTTAACCTAATGTCCACGTGAGAATCTGACCTGGACTGTATAAACCAGATTCCTGAAAATTCTCAGAAATAACAAATATGCACAAATGTTAGATCAGTACAGGATGTCTTAACATTGGTTATGACAACAAGAATCTTGTTTACTGATTTTGGTAGAATGCAATAAATATAATCATTGCATAATGATCAGCTAAACACTCATATTGAGCAGCTCCTGTATGACATTCTTTTTCTGCAGAATGTCCTTGTATCCCAGAATGTTATGACATTAGTCATGACATTCACACAACTGGTTTTACCAAAAAACATACCAACAACCAAACACTTACACCTAACACCTTCCCTTCATCTAAGACCGAGTCCAAAAACTTAAAATCTCTAACTTTAGGGTTATCCTTTATATTCCCTTCCTCGAGATAAAAATTAAGGGTAATGACTTTCCTTTTAAAACTAGTTACAACACACAAATGAGAGATACATCACATATTCACCCAAAACCTTAAGGTGGTAGGTGTATGTGTCCTCTCATTTATAAAGTGTTCAACATTCACTTTTCTAAGCAATGTGGGACTTAGAACTCACATTTATTTTTCAACAATCTCCCTCTCGAGTGTTGGTCTATCTACTATGCTTCCCCTCAAGCGGAAGTTCTTTCCTCCACATACTTGTAATGCCGTTGACACACACCCTTACTCGTCATGGACACTACAACGAGACACGTCGTCTGACTATCATGTCAGTAAGACTTTCGATACAAGGAGTCGGTCCCTTACTCAAACTGGGTTCTGTTACCACTAATTGATCATCATGAGAAAGAAACATTCACATTGAGTCAAACGCTCACCTAAAAGTCAAAGACTCATCCAAACAAATTAGAGAGAATCATGTAAGCTCCGACATCTAATAATCGCTAAGGACCATTATTAAGTATGTGTTTAAAGTGTGTTCATTCAATTATATATTGTAGAATTAATTTAATGTGTGTTCATTAAGTTATATATTGTAGAATTAATTTTAATGAATGGATGAGTAAGATTTAGGTGACTCATATAAGCTCCACATTCTAATGGTCACTTCTCAAGACTTAGGTGACTCATATTCAAATAGATTGGACTTTGACATAGTCCAAACAATTATATATTGTAGAGTTAATTTTAATGAATGGATGAGCAAGTGTTGTTGGATGACATAGTTGGATTAGATGGTTTGTTTAATTGATGAATGGTTTCGAGGGAATACAGAAATGTGTATTGTTTGTTTGACACCTTCGACCATGGTGATGTTTGTGAACCTCGGGAAATAAATAGTTAGCATTTAAACCAGCAAATGCTTTGGTCTGCACACTCTGGTCGGGTTGGATCAGATACTCAGTCCGTGTCTCCTCTTCTAATGCTGTTGCCTCAAAACCTTCACTGTTTCATCCACCCTGTCTTTATCTTAAGTTACACATTTTGGAGTTAAGGGAAGAATCACTAACTTTGTGTGTTACTAGTACACCATAAAACACTTTGACATCAATACTGTTCTGCTTCTAAATATTGCCACCCACATTATCAACACTATTTTCGTACCTGTTTTCATTTTCATATCACCTAGCCTACTATACTACTGTCTAGTACTTCCTTCTCCCTTCAACTTTGCATTTTATATTATAAGTTTTAATGATATGTGTGAGCGTGTATATATTACTATATTACTATGTACAAAGACTTAAAATATTCAATTATATCTTCTAGGAAGAATCATTTTAAGGATAATATACTACATTTGAGAATTTAGCTCACATGAATATTCTGTTTACTTTAAAATGAGTGTATGGTTAAGATTTTTATATAAAATTTAAAAATGTACATTCTTTATTTCTAACTATAACATTATTTTTGTACATTATTGTTTTTTTTTATATATAATCATATAAAAACTTGTAAATATATTCATTACTCTTTTTTTTAATATATTCTACATTAATACTATCGATTTGCTAAGAAAATGAAAAACTAAATCAAATATACATCTTAAACCAAATAATAATTTAACAATTCACACAAAATATACATATTAATTACACAAATTTTTAAATACGCTTAAAATGTCATTGAATTAAATACAGAGAGAAATAAAGTTTTCGTAATACACAATAATTTTACAAAATTAATATCATTAATTATTTGTAAGTTGTTTATTACTAATAATACTAATAATGATAGAACATAATTGAAACATTTGTTTTTATATAGATGCAGTAATAACTTAACATTATAATTTTAATGTATTGAATATGAATCTTTTTAGAAACAACTAATTTTTATTTACAAAAATTATTAGTTTGTTTTTCTTTAGTTAAATTATATTTGATAAAAATAATGGTTGATAGTTGATAATGGTTGACTGATGAAATAATTGATGTGTAACTTATAGATAGTTGATAGTTAAAATTGACAACTAATAAATTAATTGAAATATTTAATAAAATTAATGATTTAATTAATTTATAAATGTAAAATTACATTAAAAAAATATATTCAATACATAATATTTTATTATAGTTAAAATGAATTACAAAAAATAAAAATAAATTTTCGTTAAAATAATAAAAACAAAAAAAAAATAATAAAATAATAATTTGTAAATCAAAATACATTTTGAAATAGCGTTTAAAAAATAAATTATAAATTAATAAAATAAATTATAAATCCATCATAAATAAAATGTTATCTAACATGTTTAAATGTGTCTTACTAAATAAAGTAGCCTTACTAATAATAGCAAAGTGATAAAATATATGGATAATATATTTTTATTTATTTTATTATTTTATGAAGAAACATTTTAAGACTAAAGAGTATATAAATTAAATCGTAAATTTGAAAGGAGGGTTACAAATTTAGCCGCCTTCTTAAAAAATACAATCATTATGAAGCTTTTCTTTATTTTAATTAATTTCATAGTCTAATCATAACATAAATTTGATGGATCAATAATTTATATTTCTTTACTTAAAGTACCCCCATTTTTTCCATGGAAAAAAAGCTAACACACTTATTTAATAGGATAACTACAAAGTTGTGTACCAACTAAATTATTACTCTCTGAATTATACAGGAAAACATCACAGTGGATCTAAGTATGTAAATTTACTTGCAAAAAGTTAAACAAAAAGAAGTGAAATTATGACCAAAAAAAACTGGTTATGATTTTAAAATGATAAACATTGCGAATAATTAACCCTATGGAGAATTTTTGCTTTTCTGCTTTTAATTTAAGGGCCTCCAGTATAGTCTGGTCTAGTCAAGAGTGTATTCTATTTTGTTGTTACTTAGTTTCTTAGGATTGTCAAATACTCACAGTAATAACAAACAGACTTCAAATTTACATTTTTTTTAAATCCTATATTTAGTTTACAATCCAAAAAAACATACTAAATTGCATAATTTTAATCTCTATTTAGAGACTATTCGTAACTGAAAAACTGGATTCTGATACTAAAAATGACGATATAAATTTAATAAAAATGTTTGATAACTTCTTGAAGTGTAATTTTTCTTTTTTTTGGTTACAGAAATATAGAATTATCAATTAATACTCCTACAGTAGAAATGATGGATGCGATAATTGATTAACCTCTGATCGCAACAGCACACACGTTGAAGATCACCTACACTAGCTAGTCAGGTGTAGTCCAAATGTTGAATACTAGCTAGTCAAGCTTAGACTATTCATCACTCTTTTTTCACTTCTATTTTTTTCTTTCTTTCACCTAATAATTAAATATTCATTCAACTTTTACTCACTACAATAATTTTTTTAAATGAAATTCAACATTTTATCCCAACATTTTTGTTTCATTTTTTTTAATGTTTTTTTAATAAAATCATTTTTTTTTCTCAAATCAAATGAATCAAGTCACTATTTATAGACAAAAAATAATACGTTTTGGTAAAAATAAAAATAAATAAATAATTTACAATAAAATAATTGAACACAAATAATTAATATGACATAAAATTTTAAACATTCACAATAATCAAAATAAGATTTTACAACATGTTAAATGTTTTCAACACCAATTAATTCATCTCCTTTTTAACGCTCTATTGCAAGCATCCCAACTACTGAATAATTTTTTAAACACCCCGTCATAAATAGTCTTACTCAGAAGTCAGAACCTTTTTTGATGCTTCATCTTTTCTCTTCACACGATCCTATAACGTAAAAAAACCTACATGACCGATCCACTTTCCATTAATCATGCAAATCCTGTAGATTATCTCAAATCAAGAGGCAAATCAGAATAAGACATTCCATCTACGGGTGACACTTAGAGAAGCATTAGCTGAATTGAAGACATTTGAGAAAAATATTTACAGAGCTTTCTGAATAAGGAAAAGCCCATGCAATTAAACCAAAAAAATAATGAATCATACAACAAGATTCGAACTGAAACCTTGACAAGACTTTTAGTTTCTATAGCCAACCCCAAAGTGAAACCTCTTCTCTTGCTGGTCATTAAAGGCATATTCAAGGCGCAAAGGACCCAAAGGTGAATCAACACGGATGCCCAACCCATACCCATATCCGCTTCCAGGCTTATTCCTTGCTCCAGCAGGGTCGCCTAATAAAAGAAAAAAATATCAAAAGCCTTATAATATATGCACATTAAGTATCAGGACAAACTATACTGGCAAACATCAAGAGAAACACTACCAGTTGAGAAGTCTATTTATATATAAAATTATATAGTCGTTTAAAGGAGTCAAAGAACAAAGATAAGCCAAGAAAGTTGGATCTTATTAGCATTGAAGACTCTAATCTATAAGTGTAGATTTGAAGTGTGTGCTTGGAATTGTCTTCCTCAACATCATAAAATACGATAAGTTTACTCTTTTCGTGTTGATGATAGTACTCAGGCGCATTTGAGTGATCTCCAGATTATTAATCTTCAAAAGAAGGGATCAAATAAATTAAATGAATTGTAGCCCAAAAAATAATCAAACAAAGATCTACCAGGGACAGTAAAGCCAGATCCAAGATCAGTTCCATAGTCAGAAAATATGACACCTTCTACTGGCCGTATCTGCAAATATAAACAGTAAAGGATCAGGAATTTTTCATTCTTATAGTTTTAATGAAATGCATGCGCTTGCAGGTAAAAAGACATAAGCCCTTAGTCAACAACAAACGTAAAATTCAACTTCGCACAAATTTCCGGAAGAGTTTCTTTACAAATTTTCATTAGATTTCATACTCAAAACATTATTCTGTTTTACTTTTTACCCTTTCTTTGGACCTGAAAACATCTTCCTTCTAGATTAATACCTTTTTCCAACCCTTTCAAACTCGTAAAAACTATTTCTAATAAGGCATCTTCTACTCTATATTCCAAAAACATGCCTCTCCAACCCTAAGAAATCACACAATTCAGCAACAAATTTCAGAAACAGCCAGGTTGAAGCAGGTGCATGTCTTGAAAATTAGGATTAGCACATAAGCACACAAGAAAAGTTGAACTAATTAAACCGGAAAAGACTAAATAAATTTCAAGTACCATAGGGAAAGAAATTTCTCCGGAGCCAACAACATATGATCGACCAGAGCCCACACCACCTTCTTCATAGCCTCTCACGCTATTAGTTCCACCAATGGCAAAAGCTTCATAGGGAGAGAAATTGCCTACCACATGGCCCCCGGCGAAACTGGCAGCGAAGCAATTTACGTCGGGAAAGCATAAGATTAGGTTTTGCATTAATATAAAGTGTAAACAACAATGCATTGGTTACTACTTCCTTCCAAGAGAAGGGGGTTGAATACATCTAGTTCATACCTTAAATTAAAACGAGCAGGACCGATCTCAACACCCTTCCTAGCCCGTGCATTCACCCTAGTGAAGGATAACCAATCAGGCAAAACAGGAAGCCCCTGCTCCATGTTTAGGACAAACTGCAAAACGAAGCAAGTAATGATCAGAAACATTTAAGTTTAAATTGTAGGACTGCATTCAGTTCATAACTAACCATAGACGACCCGTGTTCACCAGAACCAGTGTAAACAGTCTCAATTTTAGCAAGCAGTGTATCATCATGGGTATTGCCACTACAAGGAAAAATTGACAGAAGTTAGGAACAGCATAAAGTCATCATAAGCATACTATCCAAAACAAGTAACATGTAGCTTTTCCTTAAATTACAACCTTGCAGTAAGAGGACTATTGTAACGATCTCTAATGATAGGAACACCATTGTTGTCACTGACTCCGGCGCGCTGAAGTGATAGAGATAATTGATTAAAGTTATAAAAGAATGAGTAGCATTAATAAACATAGAAGCAAAAGGGGCCTGGATATTGTATTTTATTTAGTTTACGGAAGGAATAATCTCACTAGATATTACATGGTTTAACTACACTAGGAAAATCAATAATTCCAAGAGGTACTGATAGAGGTAGCTTTGAAAAACTAAAATTAGAAATAAAAGTGTTACAACTTAACACATGATAACATCCACCAAAGCAGTTTAATGAAGCACCTGGAAAATCAGTCCTGCTGTTCCACTCCACTTTGGCCTAATGGGTCGACCCAACTCTATGCCACCTGTGATGCGGCCAATGGTCAGGTTACTGTTACCATCCTGGTTACCATGAACAATTGTCCCGGGCGTTCTTGAATTCTAAATTGAAGTTGATTAAATATCAGCAAACACAATACTTGTCTTTTTATCATCAAAAGCAAGTTTAACAAATAAACCTTTAGATATTACCTGAATCATTATTGTTCTAGATGTTCGCTTATCATCTCCTTGGATCCAAGGGTCAGTGTAGTTTGCACGAATGATTAAGTCAACCTGGCCTCTCTCTAAGGAAACATTGAGTTTCTGATTTCTCCCAAAAACATTCCTATGAGAATACGCAAAGCTGCAGCGGGAACAAAATGTTGCTGAGTGGATCAACCATGAGTACACCAGTGGCAGTTGGACCATTAAGCATAAGCAATATGTAATATGAACATTTAGTAAAGCAAAAACAGCTTTATTTTGTTTCACTGACGAATAAACTGGGGAAATCATTTATAGAGTGTGATTTACTACACATTGTAGCAAAACACATGCAGATCTGTACACTGTACAGGACAAGTAGTTAAGCCACAATACACTTTTTGTATTTTTTATGTTATTTGGAACAAGAACAAGAAACTTGTGCATACTTTTTAGAAGCATACATGATTGATAAAATAATCTGGAGTTTACTAAAATCCCCAAAATTAACAATTGTTTTGCACTAATTTAACATCTGAAAGTTCTCCAAATGTTCATTTCATAATTAAATTGAATTGTTGTCATACTACTCATATTGTTTTATGCAAGCAATTGATCATTTTCAGTTGCATTTTATATTTATCGTATTAATTTTTATATTTTATTAATAAAACTAAAATCATACGATTTTGTAAACTATCATGGACACATTTGCTTCAAGATCCATACCCTGGAAAAAGTCAATGGTTCCCACTATAAATGTATTATGATATGTTGATATATTCCTTTGTTGAGTTGGTCCTTTCATCACACTAGATAGTTCTAAAACACCAATGCTTCCTTATTTCATCCCATTCTGTTCTCATATGTTCTTTCATCAGCTGCTGGTGTGGAGGAGCTGTTGGGGCATTTATGAGGATGTCCATGCAGCATCTACAAGCTCAGTAGCACCGATGCTTTTTATCGAAGGTGTGTACAGTGTCCAACACGACACCGACACGTGTGGTTACATTCGGTTGATTCATTTTCATAAATCATTACCGATATCAACATGTCAATGACGTGCTGGTGTTTGTGCTTCATAGTCTGCAAGCAGCTGTGTGGCTATTGCCACCAGCACAACCCAAACAACAATATGAGAAAAATGTTTGACAGAAAGAGAAGGAGCTGTGAATGCCGCTGTCAGTCACCAGATTTCTAATTAGACAGTGGTGGTACTTGCCTGTGGAACCTAAGTGTGGCCAAGAGATTTGATAAGAGATGGGGAATTCGTCGGGAAGGGGTGGAAAGTGAGGATGGAGAGAAAAAATGGAATAACTTTGACCTTAACTCAACCTTACAAAACCGGTTTGCAAGCTGAAGGATGTCACTCTATATAAACCTTTTTCAGGCTCTATGTCTAACCAATGTGGAACTTGAGATGTTCTCAATGGTCTCATACTTGAAAAGTTATCCCTTACTCTAGTGAGTGCGTTTATCAATTTCCCTATGTCTCGTCTCCTTAGTTTGTTTGTCCCATGTCTATTTTCCCAGTCAAATACAGAATAACAACTTGGGTGTACTGTCTAGTCTTATATAGTGAGTGCGTTTATCAATTTCTCTATGTCTCGTCTCCTTAGTTTGTTTTGTCCCATGACTACTTTTCCAGTCAAATACAGAATAACAACGTTGGTGTACTGTCTAGTCTTATATTTTTAAGTGAATTAAATAAAACAATAGGTAAAGAACTGATAAACTGATATGATAAAGTTAGTATCATATAAAATCTTCATATGGCTCGGCTTTATCAGATGTAAGATTGTGAACAGTAGGCAGTGTGCTTACAGCTATAAGGGGCATGTGTAATATTTAACAATGTCATGAATAAACACTTTATTGCACTAGCCGTATATGGAGCCAGCAGCAGAGGTAAATAGTCCTTAAAACAGTTTTAATTGAAGTTGAGTAATTTTGGCTATTTGATGAAAGAGAGTATAGAATGCTTTAAAAGACAAAGCATTAACTTCACCCACCACACGACAAGAAAATAAGCTTACCTTCCAATAAGTCCTCTGAGTGGACCACTTGTAATCCTGCAAATGTAAACGGCTAGTTAGACCATACACTAACCAAAGAAAAAAGAAAACTGTGTTGATTTCCCCTCTGGTAACATATGAAGGGATGGTTGTCTTTCGGAAATTTAAAGTAAGAAGATTTTCAATAACTTCCGAATTTACTGCTGAAGGAGAATTTTTAATAAGTAAAGGAGGTTGAGATAATTTGCATATTTACTAAATTTAAGCATTATTTAAGCATGCTCTAGACTCGCATCACTTACCCACTTGATATCCCGCCACCAGCAGAAAATCCTCCACTAGGACGTTCCACCACATTCATCACTAAATCAACCTTCCCTGTATCTATAACACAACAAAATATATACTTAAGAGAGTACCATGGATCCAATAGAAGAAAACAAAAACACAGGTAGAAAGTATTGTGTCCATTCTTTGAGAATAATATATATACTTCCCTTTTGAAAGCATGGGTTGAAGTGAAGTTACTAGTGAAGCATCATATATAACACCTTACAGGATAGCAATGACACAAGGTAAGAGCTAATAAGAAAATATTTGGCCCACTTGAGGAAGACTAACTAATTTAAGCCCTGTTCTGCACTAGTAAACTCTACAAAAGCAAGCTACATATATATTCAAATAGTGAATAATGTCAAAGTTCCGTTTTTCTTCTTTTGCTTTGGCCTTGTATTTTCGATAACTTCAGTTTTAAAGTTTCTCACAAAATAGCATGAGCAACTCTGCTTTTGTTTTCTTTATGGTTCTTCTCCACAAACATTCATGAAAAAAATATATAAAAGAATTTTACTATCAATTTTGAAACAGTAGCTTTTGTAAAGGTTGAAATAAGCTTCAACAATTAAATTTTTCATAAACTCTCAGTTAACTTCATCTATAAACCCTTAAGACTATAAAAACAATTGAGTAAGTGAAGAATTACATAGTTACTTATATTGAAATGATCCCATGAGCTACAAGGTAATCCAAACTGTACCAAAGTAACTTTTGGTAGGAGTTACAATGATAAAATGTTGAACAAAGAAGGTAAACTTATATAGTCCCTGATAAAAAATTGCATTACATCTTGGGAAGTATAATTACCAGTTAACACTTAGAACTGACTGTGTTTCTTTGTTACAGTTATTCGCCTTAAAATAAAGCCCATATTCTGTATGTATAATTACCTGCCGGTTGGGGAATAATGCTAACATCTTCCATTATCCCCATTGTTAATACAGTTTCTACATCTCTTTTTCCCTGATGCATGCTGTAGACCTGAAAATACAATTGCAGATAATACCAAAATCCTTCTAAGTGACTATGCAAAAGCAAGGAGTGTTTCATAAAAGAGAGAATAATGAAATATCGAATACTTTTCTTTTGATGAACTATATCAATTGCCATCATGTTGCCAACTGATAGAAATCAAAGATGAACTTTCCATTTCTGTTATAACAGAATTCTGTTACTGTAAAAGTTAGTTACAAGAGTTGATACACAGTTGCATTTATAGTAGCAACTTGTGTGACCTGCTATAGCAGGTCAGCTACTGCTCTAGACTTGACACATGTCAGTCATTTACAAGGCATTATTTACATCAAGCTGCTGGATAGACCATTTGTGAGTGAGGGCAATAGTCAGGATGAGTCTAACAGTAATTGGCTTCACAACAGGGGAAAAAGTCTCATTAAAATCACACCCTTGCTTTTGATGAAACCCTTTTGCTACCAGGCGTGCCTTGTACCTGCTGACTGAGCCATCTGGTTTTTCCTTGATGCGAAACACCCACTTGCAGCCTACAGATTGCCTATTAGTGGAAGAGGCACAAGGGACCAGGTGTTATTGTTGCTCAAGGCATCAAATTCAGACTGCATAGCTTTCTTTCCACTTGGCATCTGCAAGAGCTTGTTTGACTGTCGTAGATTCTGTATGAGTGAGTAACAATTTGGGATTCAGTCTGGGTTGCACAAATCCAGCTTTGGCTCTTGTCGTCATAGAGTGTTGGTTGACAGGTTTAGAGCTAACTGCTACAGCATTAGCTGGAAGGCAGGATGGTGTGGGAGTAGTAGTTATTGATGGCTTGGAGTGAGAAGGCCGAGATGGAGTCTGAGGAGTAGGAGATGAAGGGTTCTCAGTTTCAGTGATAGATGTAGAGGAATTGGAGGAGGTGGCAGAAGTAGGTGAGTCAGCAGAAGAAAAGGGAACTGCTGTCAGAGGCAAGGGCTTAGGGAGAGAAACATTGGAAAAGAGAGGGGATAGGGATGATGAGGAATTTTGTTTGGTAGGGTTATTGACATTAGGAGCATGAGAAGCAGATGGAGAAAATAACTCAAGGTAGGGAAACCTGGATTCATGGAATAGAACATCCTTGGTTATATATAGTTTGCCAATAGGGGAGAGACACTTATAACCCTTGTGAGAATTGGAATAAGCCAAAAACAGACATTCTTGAGACCTGAATTCCAGCTTGTGTGCATTATAAGGTCTCGGGAGTGGAAAGCAGGCACAACCAAAGACCTTCAAGAATTTGAAATCAGGCAAAATGTGAAACAGAAGAGTATAGGGAACCTGAAATTGAATAGCTGAGGAGGGAAGTCTGTTTATGAGAAAAACAGTTGTGGTGAAGACATAATCCCAGTATGTCAAGGGTAAGGAAGCTTGACTTAAAAGAGTTAAGCCTAAATCCACAATGTGTGTATGTTTCCTTTCCACCACTCCATTTTGGTGGTGAGTATGAGGACATATAATCCTGTGCACTATGCCTAAGTCAGCCAGAAATTTACTAAAGGGACGAAATTCCCCACCCCAATCTGACTGAACAGCTTTAATGGAGAATCCAAGTTGCAGTTCTACAAGAGACTTAAATTGCTTGAAGACACTAAGTGCTTCAGCTTTAGATTTAAGTAAGTACAGCCAGGTAAACTTGGAAAAGGCATCAAACAAAGGAGATGTAGTATGTAAACCCTTGTGCTAAGGGTTGGGGAGAAGGCCCCCACAGATCACAGTACACAAGTTCTAAAGGGTGATGATAAGTGGTGTGTGAAATAGGTTAATGCAGTCTATGTGCTTTACCCATACAACAGGCAGAACAGAAATATCATGATTTTTATTGCTGAAATTGAGATTACAACTTTGTAGCAACAATCTCAATATGTTAACATTGGGATGGCCTAGTCTTAAATGCCACACATTGGATAAAGCGGGAGAAATTGTAGCAGAATTAACAGAAGGTACAAGTTTAGTGGAAGAGTCTAAAGACTTGGTAGACTTGGCAAATTTAGAAACATTGAGCAAGGGAAACTCATACAGCCCATCTGAACCAACTTGACCGGTCAGCAAAACAGCATTAGACACCTGACATTTGACAAAGCATGAATCAGCTGTGAAAAGGAAGTAAACATGATTGTCACGACAAAACTGACTCACACTTATGAGATTCTTGGTAATGGAAGGCACATGTAATATATTATTTAGTGTGAGAGGTGTGTGTGAGGGTGATTTTGAGACAAAAATTGACTAGAACCAGCAGAGTTAATGAGTAAACCTTGGCCATTTCCTATGTAAATATGTTCATGACCCTCAAGAGGTGTGGCTTGTTGCAGATTATTTCCATCATTAGCGACATGATATGAAGCCCCTGAATCAGGATACCAAGACATAGCTGATGTAGAGGGAGCTGCATTTGCAATGAATGTGCTGGGAGAAGAATAGGCAAGAGCTGGCCTTGCTTGAGCAGCTGGAGGTCTTGTCCACACATTAGCAGGAAATTGGCCATAAGGCACCTGATGAAATTGCCAAGGAGCTGCATTGTAGGGATTACCACTATATGAGGGAGGCTGAAACTGTTGATTGAACCTATGCCAGCAATTGAAAGCTGAATGTCCAACCTTGGAGCAAACTTGACATTGAATTGTGGAATTCCTGCCACCTCTACCTTTGCCACGACCACCCCTGTTTGATCTAACACCTCTGAAACTGGAATATTCAGGCTCTGCATGAGAGGGAGCTACCTGTGAGTGAGTAGAATCAGTGCTTCCAGACTGAGGAATTTCAGGGGAAGCTGTCTGAGGTGAAGTGTGTGTGAGGTTGAGAGATCCAAGATCTGGCACAGTTGATTTCTTGAATTTGTTCAGCCTTAGTTCATGTGCAATTAGGAGGATTTTAACCTCATCCAAATCCATATCACCAAATTTGCTCTGTACAACTGATACAACAGGAGCATATTCACTAGGAAGCCCCTCAAGAATCAGATAAATATGGTGAGAACTGGGAATAGGATCTTCAATTGAAGCCAGTGCATCCACAATCATGCGAAGTCTCAACAAGTAATCAGAGATAGATTGAGACTCCAGAGTTAGGGCACGCAATTCTACACGCAATTGGCGTGCACGTGCACGAGTTTGCTTCTGGAAATAACTGAATAAGCGATCCCAGAGTTGATGCAAATGAGAGCATCCAAGAACACGCGACAGAATTTCGCTCGAAAGCGTCGATTGAAACCAGGATAGTAGCAATTGATCTTTCTGAAGCCAAATTGAGTACGTAGGGTTGATTGTACCTTGACGACGAGCATCATCGTCCACGAATTTGGGAGGAATTCGAGTACAAACGACGAGATCTGTGAGATTGTGCGCGTTGATGTAGGGCTCCACCTGTTGACGCCAGAGGTGGAAGTTTTTCTCATCAAGTTTATGCGGATCTTGAGCGAGAACTATAAACGGCGAGTTTCATCAGTCGCCGCCATGGACGGTGAGTTTTGCACCGTGACGTTAGCGGAAGACGGTGATCCCGGTGAAGCTGGTGACGCCATGAATCGAATCTAGCTAAACTGATACCATGGTAGAAATCAAAGATGAACTTTCCATTTCTGTTATAACAGAATTTGTTATTGTAAAAGTTAGTTACAAGAGTTGATACACAGTTGCATTTATAGTAGCAACTTGTGTGACCTGCTATAGCAGGTCAGCTACTGCTCTAAACATGACACATGTCAGTCATTTACAAGGCTATTATAGTATTAATACTTCTATTCTTAACTATACTCTAATACCAACCACCAAAATTGATAAAAATAACATCACAATCAGTTTTAGAACTTAAATTTGATAAATATGGAATTATCATGTTTTGGCTTGATTTGCAGTTATGCACACAAATTAAATGTATACCAGTTCTTCACTAAATTTCCAAAAGCTAGGTAGTAACAGACTATGATCAATTATCGTTGGAATATCCAGGGTTCTGTCAAGAAACTACCTGCCCCTTCTTGGTTGTAATTTGCCGTAGTATTGTTTCAGGTTTTGTCTTCCCAACAGTAGTCTCACCCCTACATACAAAATCAAATTAGTAAATAAAATCTATCCACAAAAATATATAACAAAACACTATGAGTATATTTGTGTACATGAGTGTATTTATGTGTGAATCAAAATTGAAAGAAGATCCTTACGTCTTCCTGTCAAGAAACCGTACGGAAATATTATTGACCTCAGCTTCTGAAACTTGTAATCTCAGGATACCCCCAGATAGAATCTCAACAGCTGATACCTAACATAGAGATCAAGGCCGGGGAAAAAGAAAAAATGATCAACTACCAACAAAAACTAGATAGATGATGCTTTGATACTTTCTGTTCTAAGACTACTGAAAACATAAAAAATTAACCTGAATTCTAAATTCACACCTATCACAAAACATGACTGTATTTTGAAGTTTGAACAGAAATTAAGGGGAATTTACCATGGCAAAAAGACCACGCTCCATATACCAGTTATTAATAGAAGATATAGCCTCATCCAAACGCCTCAAATTGATAACTTTCCCTGGAACACTTGACACGTAAGTTTGCGAACAACAAATGATATACATAAGAAAAATATGCATGATTAAAATTGCACAGGTATGGAAAAAGAGGAATAAGTTACCATGTCCATTCCGAAAAGAGTTCTCCAAAAACTTGGCCGGAATAACATTGGCTCCTTCACATACCAATCCTTGGAACTCTTGATTTGGTTCTACCTTATACCACAAGAAACCAGTACTCACATAACATATCCAAATATCATCAATAACAAATTCAATTCAATGCACATTTAAACATGCAACACTATAACACTAATTTCCAATTCAAAACTACTGAAAATAATTCAATTCAAATATCCTCATAAAACGGTCATCTAAATTTCAATTATACCTAAAACACCAATCGAATATGTCCCCTAACAAATTTGATTTGGTTCTACCTTATACCACAAGAAATCAATACTTATATAAAATATCCAAATATCATCACTAACAAATTTAATTCAATGCACATTTAAACATGCAACGCCATAACACTAATTTCCAATTCAAATCTTCTGAAATTCAATTCAAACATCCCCATAAAACAGTTATCTAAACTTCAATTATACCTGAAACACCAATCGAATACCATCACGCGTATCAACTGCAACCGGAACGCACGAACAAAAGTATCCACTATTGATAATCCGATGAACATCATCCTGCACCTCGCGAACCGTGAGAGCCGAATTAGGTCGACAGGCTTTGAGAGCCTGAGCCGCTTCTGCTTCCAGGTCCTTCCTCTCGAGTTCTTCGCCGTCTTTGTTTCGAACCAACACTTCACTGATTAAAACTCTCTCCTCATTCTGTCGAGTTTTCAACTGAATCTCCTCCGCCGGAGAAAGAGACAAGCCTTTTCTCTCGTCGGTGAGTGACAACGTCGCCGAACATAGAGAATGTGATTTTCGAAGCACGGAGCGAGTTAACTCGGTGGAGTGAGTTCTGAACGAGTGAATGAGTTGAGAGAACGAGTTGGTTGCGTTGGTGAAGTGAGAATGTGCGGTTTTGAAAGGAGTGGCTAGGGGTTTGGAAGGAAGAGGGATTTTGATGGAAGAAGAAACGAAACGGATGTCGTCGTTTCGAGGCATTGTCGTGGAATCTATGCGTCGTTTTGCATATGCAGAATTTGAATGTGTGGAGAGTGATGTGCGGTGGTTGCTTTTGCAGCGGTTGAAGCTGCTTGGTTAACCGCTCACGCCTCTGATTCTCCGACGAGGTTTTTCAGTGTTAAGACAGAGGTGGGCTTGTTTTTGGGCTGGGCTTTGATTTTAGCCCATATCATTCCAACTTATGAATTTCTTGAGATTTTGTTCACCCACCCACTCAATCATACATGATAATCCTAATTTTTCACAATACTTATTTTTATCAAATTCTTGTTAAAAAATAGTGCACAAAAAATCTGGTAGTCCAATTCAATAGAAATGGAAAAATCTGGTACGTATTTTGTGAATTTTTTTTATTAATAATCAAGTATTAAAATAATATTTCGTAAATAACCGGGTTTCGGAAAAAATTACGCAAATAACCATGTTTGAGATGGCTCCACAAAGGAGGAGTCATCTCAATTGGCGCATGCACCTCTTTTTTTAAGGGAGGCGCCATCTCACTTGGCGCCTAAGTGCTTAGGGCATGATGGCGCCTATGTACAAAATTAGGGCAAAAAAAATTTTATTTTATTTTCTTTCCTGCGCGTTGCCTATTAGACAGAGATCAACAAAATGGATTTTTTATTTAAAAAAAAATAATTACATTCAACTGTTTTACATTAAAAGAACAGTAAAAAAATGGATACAAAAAATACTGGGAAAAAAAAAGATACATCAGTGATCCCCAGGAACCCGGTAATGACCCCCAGTTCTGCATCCCCGTCCTCGCCTTTCTCTTGTTGGGTGCCGTCTCGTTTCCTGCTGCGGCAAGGTCGATGGCCCAGCGAAGTCAATGTGATCCGAATCCATAAAATCAGTAAGATCTCCATATCTCGAAGATCCGCTCTGGTACAGTCGGTTACCCATACCCTCAAAGTTTGGTCGTGTTGGCGGTGGGTGGGGTTCCATGGTTGGTCGGTAGCATTGGTCGTCTGAGTATGGGGGGTAGAAAGGAAATGGATCTTGGGGTGTTTGGTATTGTGGATGTTGGGTTGTTTGGTGATATGGTGGTTGATGGTAGGTTTGGTCGGCTTGGTCATAATCTTCTGACATTCCCATATCAGGGCTAAGGCTGGATGTTGAGGGCGCCATATTGGGATATGTGGAAGACTGAAATTGTGTCTGGGGTATGTGGGTGTGCTGGTATTGGGGTTGGTATTGTGGTTGGGTTTGAGGCATATCCGGGTATTGGTAGTTTGGCGGTGATTGTGGTTGGTAGTACGGCATTTGATTGTAGTTGTGTTGTGGTGGGGAATGTGGTTGTGTGTTTGTGGGTCTGTTTCTTCTTAGGGGTTGGTTTGAGGTTGATGGATTTTGGGTTTGTTGATGGGGAATCGAGGGTTGTGCCCATTGTGTGCGTGGGTCAACCAAGTACCTCGGATGAGACACGTGCATATCTGGGTTACTAACCGACCTGTACCACGACATATATTGATCAGTGTGTCGCATGTTACCTTGAGTAAGGAAAACCGGGGATTGCAAGATGTAGCGGTGACGCCTTTGCCACATTTTACACCATTCTGGAGCAAAGTCTTTCCAGTTGGTAAGACCCCACTGGGCGTCGACCCTTTTTAGATGCCAAGGGGACAAATCTGTTGGATCACTTGGTATCTCTTGATGCATTCCGAACTGCATCTTCACACGGTCGCTGTGATGCATCTCCATAATGTTGAACCGAATGAGTGCAGTCTTTGCAGTCCAAGTTGCTGCATCCTCTGGATTTGGAGAATGGCCCAAACCCAAATATGGTCTCCAGACGAACTGCGATAAAATTTAAATCAGGTAAGCGCAAAAGTAATGTATAAATAATTAAAATGAACAAAAGTTAAAAGCTACGACGTACGTCATCTGGGCCTAAGTGATCCAACAGATTCCGGTAGAGTGCGACATTGAATCTGGGATTCTTGCCGTAATCCATACCCCTCACGCAGTACCTAAAGGAAATGAGAAACATGTTATTTTTAGCATATATTTTGGAAAGAGCAGAATAGTTATAAATGCTATAACTTAATGACTTACTTTGTTGCGTACGGGAAACCAAAAGTGTTGTTGTTGATGGGGTTTAAGGACTCCATCCTCCACCAACCCCAGGCTTGTAGTAAAAATGCGCACCCATAAAATGTACATTTTTCCTTGACTGCGTTTTTGCACAAGGAACTGTACAGGTGGGCTAATACTGCAGAACCCTAACTATATTTTCTAGTTTTTTCAAAATTTGTTAGTAAATGTAAGTACATGAAATTTACACTATTTCCCGTACTTTCGGGAAATAAAAATGTACCAAAAAGTATCATAATATACGTTCTGGCTTTTACTACTCGGTCATTCTCTGAGGAATTTTCATTTAATTCCATACTTGCATAATGCCGTTTCAGGTCAGTGAGTAGTATTCCCTGCCCTCTTGCTCCACCACCTTCTACCATGTCCCTACCCAACAGTTCTTCACACTGTGAGTTGGGTTATTGAACCGACCCGTTCACCGCCTTACCATCGATAGGGAGGCCCAGTAGCATGTACACATCTTCGAGAGTGATGGTACATTCACCTATTGGTAGGTGAAATGTATGGGTCTCCGGTCTCCACCTCTCCAACATTGCAAGAATGAATTTTGAGTCAATGGTGCAGTTGGAGATCTTTATCACATGTCCAAAACCTGCATATTCCAGATAAGAGACGATAAATGGGTCGGGACCCAGGTATTTGTGCGAACGGATTCTGAATCTTTGTGTATCCTGAGATCATAATTAAACAAGTGTCAGATTAATTAAGATGAACAACACGTTATTTGAAGTATGAAAAATGTATAACCAAAGAAGAGACTTACAAATGCAGCAATGTTTTCCCTTGTGCCTCTGTGAGTATCTCCCATTGTTAGAAGAGCCATTATTCAGAATGCTTGAGAGTATGAAAGACTTAGGAAGAAATAGAGAGTATGATAGACTTAAGAAATATTTCGTAGCAGAGAGTGAGAGTTGTGTGAGTGTGAGAGATGTTTCATAAGGTATGTATTTATAGGCAAATAAGTTTGATGTAGTGGTTGCATGCCTGCGATGTGTCACATTTGCATGCTTAGGGTGTTACACATATGCATGCATGCATTTACAAAAAATGTAAGGTGTCACTCTTGCAGGCTAGGTGGCAGCCCATGCATGTATCACGATTGGACAATAAGGGAGGCGCCATCTCACTTGGAGAAAGAGTACAAAAATGAATGGTGTCGCCACCCCATTTGGCGAATAAGAGGTGTCACTTCTTACAGCATTGGCTCAGGCTACGTGACAGCCTTTGGGATTCCTTTCTTTGTTGCATGCAAGGCCATTGGAGTTGATGGGTGGAGTCTTACACAAAACATTTATGTATGCAGAATAGGGCCAGGATAGGTGGCAGGCTAGGTGGCTGCATAAGCCCATGCATGTATCATGATTGGACAGTAAGGGAGGCGCCATCTCACTTGGCGAAAGAGTACAAAAATGAGTGGTGTCGCCACCCCATTTGGCGAATAAGAGGTGTCACTTCTTACAGCATTGGCTTAGGCTACGTGACAGCCTTTGGGATTCCTTTCTTTGTTGCATGCAAGGCCATTGGAGTTGATGGGTGGTAGGCTAGGTGGTTGCATAAGCCCATGCATGTAATATTATTGGCAGCCTTGGGGGGTTGCATCACTTACTTAATTGAAATTTTTTGCATTACGTTGAACATAACATTCATTCACATAATCTGTAAAATTTTCCAACCTTCGAATCAGTCATCTAACCTTCAAACATTCCAGCATTCATACCTTCATACAATCAATAAACCTAAAACATTCCAACCTTCAAACCTTAAAACAATTCTACACAATGGCCTCTTCACCACAATTTGTTGTCAAAGCACATTTCAACGGTGAGACATACATGTGTCCCACAGTTGGGTTTTTGTTTAGAAACACCGACAATGTTCGATTTCTCTTAAACGGGAAAGCAAATTTCTCGTACTTTAAGAAAAGATTGGAGGCCAAACTTGAACGAGGCCCGGTATCCCAGATATTTTATCAGAGTCCAGTCTTTTTTGGAAACAACCAAGTTATTTTTTATAAGGTTGAAATTCAAGATGACGAGGATTTCCAGAACATGATTTCCAGCCATGTCTATTCTGGAAACGACTCTATTGAGTTGTACGTTTTGTTTCAAGAGCCTCCGGTGACACAGGAGGTAGAGCCTCCGGTGACACAGGAGGTTGATCCTTTGGAGAATGAGCAAGATGAGGTGGATGCAGTTGATGATGAAGAAGATAACGAGTTAGAGTTTGATGAAATGGTGAACGACGATTCTGACGATGATGGCATCCCAAGTATTCCTACTGACAAAATCTACACACCACCTACGCACATGACAAACTTCAACATGGGCGGAGATGAACCTTCTACGGACTTGTTTTTCCAACCGTATATGCAGTCGGATGAAAATTTAAAAGAGAAGGACAAGTTTCGTAACAGAGAGGAATGCATAAGGGCCATCAAAAAATTTCACATGCTCAACTCGGTTGATTATAAGGTGGCACTACAAGAAAATTAGTGTTTAACGACACAAAAATTGCGACAGTTATGTGATAACTGTCGTAATTGACATATAGCGACAGTGTTTACGACAGTTGACACCAACCGTCCCTAATATTTATTTTGCGATGGTATATTTAACCATCATAATATTATTATTACGACGGTAAAACAACCGTCGGCCCCCATTTAACACTTTTAACATTGATTTTTCACCAACAACTAGTCACGACGGTAAAATTAACCGTCCTAAAAGGCATATCACGACGGTAAAGCACCCGTCGCACCCTTAAACCTTTCACGACGGTAAAATTATCCGTCCTAAAATTCATTTCACGACGGTAAAACAACCGTCGCACCCAAAACCTTTAAAAAAGTTTAAAATTAAAATATAATTTATTTTGATACAAAATTGTGATTGATCGATAGTATAAAATTAATTTACACAATCAGGGCAACACTATTTTTTCTGATTTTATAAAATATTTTAAAATCTTAAAAAAAAAAAACTTATAAATATAATCTCAATCCAACAATCCCATATTTGGCTTAAACATCGTAACCATATCCCGTACACATAATCGGTCCCAGACGACACGTCCTTTTGGCTCCACCGCTTTTTTCTCTTCAGTCAGTTTCTGGGGTGAGAGTGTTTAGCTATGGTAGCTTTCGTTCAACATCAGATTCCGTTGCAGAAGTCACTATCTCCTATAACCTGACACGCTTACAATTCTCACATGGTTCGTTCATTCTCTCTTCTTAATTGGGGTCCCAATTTTGCTTGACTTTTTAAAACCCTCAATTTTAACCATAAATAACTTCCTTACTTGCGACGAAGGGTTTGCTATTTAATTTTCAGGTTTTTTGTTTGAAATCGGTGTCCGAGATCTGTTTTTATCGTGTGGTTTTTATTAATTAATGTTTTTTTTTTGTCGGTAGAATTGACAAATCTAGTTTGCCATATTTTATATTTTGATTCAATAAAGTGAGTCTCAAATTCACTTGGTTGTGTTATGTATGAATAGTATGAATATAGTGTATGTATTCACTTTGATTGATTGTTATGGGAAGAGTGGGAATTCTGATGGGGCTTTAAGGTTGTTTGAGAGGATGAAAATGGATGGGATTGAGCCTGATGAGGTTACTTATGGTGCTATTGTTAATGGGTTATGTAAGAGTGGGAGACTAGAGGAAGCTTTGGGTTATTTTCGGTTTTGTAATGAGAATGCTGTTGTTGTCAATGCTGTTTTTTATTCTAGTTTGATTGATGGACTTGGAAAGGCGGGAAGGGTGGATGAAGCTGAGAAGGTGTTTGATGAAATGGCTGAGAAGGGGTGTCTGCCGGATTCATATTGCTACAATGCGCTCATCGATGGACTTTGTAAGTGTGGGAGGATAGCCGATGCTTTAGTGTTGTTTAAGAGGATGGAGTGTGATGGTTGTGAGCATACTGTGTATACGTTTACTATACTTATCAGTGAGCTTTTCAGGGTGCATAGGAATGAAGAAGCCGTCAAGATGTGGGATTTGATGATTGACAAAGGGATAACGCCGAACGTTGCTTGTTTTAGGGCTCTTTCAATTGGAATGTGTCTTTCAGGAAAAGTTGCGAGGGCTTGTAAAGTGCTGGACGAGCTTGCACCTATGGGGGTTGTTCTTGAAACAGCTTATGAAGATATGATTGGAGCGCTGTGTAAAGCTGGTCGTGTGAAGGAGGCTTGTAAGTTGGCTGATGGAATTGTGGATAGGGGTAGAGAAATACCTGGGAAGATTAGAACTGTGATGATTCATTCCTTAAGAAAAGCTGGGAATGCTGATTTGGCTATCAAGTTGATGCATAGCAAGATTGGTATTGGATATGATCGAATGCGGAGCGTTAAAAAGAGAGTCAAGTTTCAAACCCTTGTTGACAACTGAGATATTTCAGGTGGATATCATGTGGCATTTGGAAACTGGTAAAGGCCAAAGCCAGTTTTAGTTCGAATGTGATGGGAATAGTTAGCTTTAAGGCCAGGAAGGATTTGGATTATATTGGGCGTGACGAGTTGCTTGAGGCATTAAAAAGGGTTTGTGATTTCTCAGCTTCTTTCTGACTCAGCAATTTCTTATGATATGTTTAATGCATTTTTACACCATCTAATGAAACTTATGGATTTCCAGCAAAAAGGAACATTTGAAACAGGGCAAGAGGACACTACAGAAATTCCTGAAGAACTGAGACTGAGATTGGCATATAGAGAAGCAGCTGTTGCTGTTATTGCATGTTATTTTCCTGAGCCACTCCGCCCTTTTGTTGAGGTAACATTATTTCTTTCAATTTTTGTTGAGAAACTTCATTATGCGTGGAAATGTGATTGTTTCATCTGTGTTGTCGTGTGTTCATTGTTTGCAGAAATAAGTTCTATTTGCAGCCAGCCAAATATGTCTTATAGTGAAGTTTCTACATGCATATTTGTTATGCAGAGATTTTGCTTGAAAAGGGGAAGATCAAAGTTGAGGATAAATAGTTAGCTTTTGAATTGTTAAAGGAAGGATTGTTAAAGGTTAAGTCTAATGTTGAACCTCTAGTAGTAGTTTCGAACGTGCCTAATATGACTCGAGTCTGATTTCTGTTTTTTCAGGGAAAGGTTGGTTAAATTGCAAGGCTAACTCAGATGAAAGGTTGAGCTGGTAAGATGCGAACTCTACGAAGTTAATTGTTTTTAATTTTTGCTTCTGGTTTTCTATTAGTGATTGGAAAGGTTTGATTATCAGAGGTTTAGGTTCAAGTGAATCAAGTTTGGACTGGATGAATTGAACCGTTGCAAATCGGTTTTTGTTTATGGATCAAACTGGTTTAAAGGCTGAATTAAATGAAGTATGATTGAATGATTTCTTTAGTATGTCCATTGTGTATAATGAACTGAACTGGATATGGTTAATTTTGTATATATGCATGGCTTCAAAAACCAACAAGGTATCTATTGTTAAACCTTGGACTACTGGAATAAGTGGACAGCTTCAAAAAGCACTTGTGACAGGTGTGCCAAAGCTAAAGAGAATAGATCTTGAAGTAGCATGTGAAGATTTTAGTAATGTAATCGGTAAATCACCGATTGGTACGTTGTACAAAGGAACTTTATCTAGTGGAGTTGAAATTGCTGTAGCTTCTGTTTCTCTGACATTATCCAAGACTTGGACAAAGAATTTAGAAGCTCAGTTTAAGAACAAGGTACCAAAACTGACCAACTTCAATTTTTTGTTAAGCTGCAATTTAAGCATATATCAATTGTGACTTAACTATAGAAGCAATTATTTGTGGTTTTCAGATAGACACACTATCAAAAGTGAACCATAGGAATTTTGTCAATCTTATTGGATATTGTGAAGAAGAAGAACCTTTTACCAGAATGTTGGTTTTTGAATATGCGCCAAATGGAACACTATTCGAGCATTTACACGGTGAGTACCCGTTAGTAGCGCTTAATGAAGATGTTTCTGTTTAGGCAAACATGTTTGAGTTATTTGATCATGTTTGAAATTGCAGTGAAAGAAGCTGAGCACTTGAACTGGGGACCGAGACTTAGAATTGCGACAGGAATGGCTTACTGCCTACAATACATGCATGGATTAGACCCTCCTGTGGCCCTTACCAATCTGAGTTCTTCAACTGTCCATCTAACAGATGATCATGCAGCAAAAATCTCGGATTTGAGTTTCTCCCGCGAAACAGATTCATCTGAAAAGAAACCTGATGGTAGAAAAGACATTGATATTGATATGACGCAATCAACAATTCCAGCGAGTAATGTTTATAGCTTTGGTGTTTTGTTATTCGAGATAGTAACCGGTCGGATTCCTTATTCGCTGGATAATAGCTCAGCTGAAAACTGGGCAGCACATTATCTAAAATGGGACAAACCTATGAAGGAAATGGTGGATGCAACTCTAGCATCTTACCAAGAGAATCAGGTGGAACAAGTTGCGGAGTTGATAAAAGATTGTGTGGATCCTGATTCGGAGAAGAGACCGAGAATGAATGAAGTGAGTGAGAGATTGAGAGAAATAACGAAAATGTCGTCTGAGTTTGTAGTTCCTAAACTTTCTCCACTTTGGTGGGCTGAGCTTGAGATTTCTTCTGCATAAGCATGGTGAAGTTGAAATGAATGAATGAATCAGATTGGATGTATGATGTGTATGGGCTGTTTATTTATGGTTGCGGGTCTGCTTCTATTTAAATATCAATTGGCTTATGTTTTCTTTTGTTTTGACGCTAATTCCATCGGTGGAATTAATGCAAAACTGTCTTGGTCTTATGCAGGTTTTGTTCATGGCATGATTCATGGATTTTTGTTGCACGGCGCTTATCATGAAGTTGATGAATATGTGAAGCCACATTGGAGTGCAGAAGCTTGAGTTAAAGCACGATTAAGTTAAGACATGTGAAACCTTTATATTGTGAAAGAAATTAGGAGCTGAATACATAACTCAGTTGAAAAGTTTCTAGAAGTTAGAAGTTTGTTTAAACTTGCCCTAAGATATTGCCTATGTTTTGTGTGAATCTTGCAGGCTGCTAGATATGCGTAGCTTGGACCAAATGGTAGTCAAGGAAGGATCATGGTCCTAGCATGGAAGTTTAACACAAAATCACTTAACACTAAGGACTTTCATGAATTTTGTAGAATATTGTAACATTTTTTGTAATTCTCTCAAGTTGTAGCAAACCAATGTAAATATTAAAATGAAATTTGGCCTTTGATGATATTTGAATTTTTCTTGTTTATTGGTAAAATTTGCACTTCTTTTTACCTTTGATCACATTTTTTTGATATTATTGAATGATTATTTGATATTATTGATGATTATTTGATATTATTGATGATTATTTGATATTAAATGTTTTTATTGTAATTAACTTTATTATGTTGAAAAGTGATAGAAAATAAAATAAAAATACTATAAATAAAAAAATATTAAAGTAAATAATAATTTAAATATAATAGTAAAATATTATAGTAAAATAATATTATATTTAAAATTATTTTACTAAATAATAATTTAAATAAAAATATTATTTGAAATTTATAAATCAGATTACGACGGTTAAAACCGCCGCAATTTCTAACCTACGGCGGTAGAATAACCGTCGCAAACAACAACAAAAACAAAAAATAAAGTCAAATTCACGACGGTATATAACCGTCGCTATCTGTTGTGCGTGACAGTTTTGCAACCGTCGCGAAATAGGCTGGGGACGCACGATTCTGCGACGGTACTTCTACCGTCGTAGATTGTAAATTGCGACGGTTTTAACCGTCGTAATCAGCCAAAATAACCGTCCCAATCTATCATTTTTCTTGTAGTGTGGATCGTGTAAACCCGGAAAGGTACAAGATCAAGTGTGTCCACCCTGACTGTATGTTCAAGCTGACCGCATCATACAGACTAAGGGGTGACTGCTGGGTCATAGGTTCCATGACTACCCATACTTGTGTAAGTTCCACTCAATCACAAGACCACCGAAAACTCAACCATGATCTAATCTGTCAAGAAATCCTACCCCTGGTCAGCAACGACCCTTCTTTGAAGGTGAAAACAATCATCTCCCACATCACCACGGTTTTTAACTACACTCCGTCTTACCGTAAGGCGTGGTTAGCAAAGACTAAGGCGATTGAAAGGGTGTACGGAAACTGGGAGGAGTCATACCGAGAACTACCCCGCTACCTAAATGCACTCAAGACATATTCTCCAGGTAGTGTTTATGTTCTGGAAACATTGTCAGCGTACGCCCAAGATGGTAGTCTACTACATGGCAACGGAATATTCAGTCGCGTCTTTTGGGCATTTCAACCATGCATCACAGGGTTTGCATCATGAAAACCAATTCTACAAATTGACGGGACTTGGTTGTATGGGAAGTACAAAGGCACGCTTTTGATGGCAGTTGCACAAGATGGCAACAATAACATTTTCCCCGTTGCGTTTGCCCTTGTCGAGGGGGAGACCGGTGGTGCTTGGAGCTTTTTCCTGAAAAATCTTCGTACACATGTGGCTCCTCAACCAGATCTCTGTTTGATCTCGGACAAACATGCCTCCATTGAAAGTGCCTATAATAATCCGGCAAATGGTTGGCATGACCCTCCTTCTACGCATGTCTATTGCGTCAGGCATATCGTCTAGAATTTCTCGAGGGAGGTTAAGGATAAAACATTGAGGAAAGCGGTGATGAATGCGGGATACGCACTGACACAGCCCACATTCAAATATTACTGCAACGAGATCCGTTTGTCTAACCCAGAAGCCGGTACGTGGATCGACAATATACCGGTCGAAAAGTGGACTAGGTCATACGACAATGGCCAAAGATGGGGGCATATGACAACAAATCTTATTGAATCAATGAATGGGGTATTCAAGGGCATACAAAACCTCCCCATCACTGCCTTGGTGAAATCCACGTATTTTAGGATGGCTGCGTTATTTGCCAAAAGAGGTGAAATGTGGTATGCGGTCTTGCAATCAGGACAACTATGGAGTGAAAGCTGTATGAAATACATTAAGGCTGAAAGTGCTAAAGCCAACACTCACATGGTTACACGGTTTGACCGCCATAGCCACAACTTCATTGTGAAAGAGACAATCGACCACAATGAAGGCCTGGCAAGACAAGAATACAGGGTCATTTTACCTTCTCAATGGTGCGATTGTGGCAGGTTTCAAGCTTTTCGTATGCCTTGCTCTCATGTCATTGCCGCTTGTGCTCATACCCATCAAGACGCGCTTCAACTGCTCTCAAACGTTTATAAATCTGAAACGTTGCTCACTGTTTACAACAACAACTTTCCTTTGGTGGCAAAACCGGACTATTGGCCTGAATACAACGGTGATATAGTTTGGCACAATGACCAAATGCGAAGGAACAAGAAGGGTCGTCCCAAAAGCAGGCGCATCACAATAGAAATGGACGATCTTGACAGGTTGGAAAGAAAGTGTGGTTTATGCCGTCAGGTCAGACACAATCGCAAAAACTGTCTGAATCGGGCGTCTGGCTCGACCACATAAATTTTGTATCACAATAAATCTTTTCAATATTTGTGTTGTAAACATTATGGGTTTTCCGTTAATAAAACTGTTAACACAATTTAAGAAATTCAATATAGGAAATTACATTAGGGTTTTCGCGTACAACAATGATTAACGATATTCAATCTGGGAAATTACAACTGTTAACACAATTTCATCTGACCCATGCATCATCAGCATTACATCACTGTCTGTTTTGACTTCCTCCAACCACACATTAGGTCTTCCTGTCGCATGCGAGGTTGTTGTTCGTTTTCGCTGGATCCTTCGAATTTTTTCCCCCTCGGCGATGTCTCCATCTAGCCACCGCATCAACTCCCGCTTCAGACGCTCCATGGAGTGAATGTGCCAGAATTTCATTTTCATCGCAGGTTTCGTGGCGGAGAATATAACGTAACCATCTCTGCTAAAAATCATAGGCGACGTCATTACGTAAATAAGGGAGTACAAAATAAAAATACAGTGCGAGAAAGTGTGAGAAATTTCAAAGAAACGGACGAATTATTTATAAAACAGCAAAAAATCCTAGTTTTGCCCTAGGCGCCAAGTGAGATGGCGCCTCCTCTCCTTTTTAAGGAGCATGCGCCATCTCACTTGGCTAAAAGACAAGGGAGGCGCCAAGTGAGATGGCGCCTAGGGCAAAATCCTAGGTGCATGCGCCATTTGAGATGGCTCCTCCTTTGTGGAGCCATCTGAAACATGGTTATTTGCGTAATTTTTTCCGAAACCCGGTTATTTGCGAAATATTTTTTTAATACATGGTTATTAATAAAAAAAATTCGTATCTTGTTGATTTTATAAATAAAAAAATTGATGCATGGAAAAACATACAATTTTTTATAAAGAAAATTATTATGGATTACAAGATTTTCGATAAATCTGATATGTTTTACAATTTTTTAGAGTTTTGAAAAATTTTGTTAGTTCATTTTGGATAAGCAAAAAAAATTAATATTATCGTGTTTTTTTAAAAATCTGATAAAATTTTTATAGATTTTTTAAAAATTCGTGAAATTTCATAAAAACTCATATATCCTCTAAAAAATCAGATAAAAATTTATAGATTTTCAAAAATTTGATATAATATTTGAAAATTTTGGTAGTTCAAAAAAATTATACTTTTTCATGGTGTTTTTTTAAAAAAATCGATAAAAATTCATAAATTTTAGAAAAATTTGATAAAAACTCGTGAAATTCACTAAAAATATGGTAAAAGTCATAGATTCCTCAAAAATTCAATAAAAATTTATGAAATTCTTCAAAAATTTAATAAAAACTCAAAATATTTCCAAAAATTTAATAAAAACTCAAAAAATTCCCAAAAATTTAATAAATACAATATTTTTTTTAAAACAAAAAAAAAACATTATGGTAAAAGCACTGTAGTTGGAGGTGCCAGAATAAAATATCAAATTTCTTTTTGTAACTCTGAAAACTAGAAATATCTAGTTTTCACAAAATTATCCTCTAAATTAATTTGAAATGGTTGAATTTTTGAACAATTAAAATAAAAATAAATACTTTATTAAATACATATACCATATATATATATATATATATATATATATATATATATATATATATATATATATATATATATATATATATATATATATATATATATATATATATATATATATATATATATATATATATATATATATATATATATATATATATATATATATATATATATATATATATATATATATATATAATTTAATATGGTATATGTTAAACACTAACAATAAATTGTGAATAATTAAAAATATCAATTAAATACAAGCAAAATTATAGACAAATAGACTCGACACTGTGTGTGGCAATCTCATCAAATATCCTCAGACAAATCAAGCTTGTATAGATAGCACAAACGAATTTTGCCAATTTAGTATCTAATTCAATCGGACCCTTGATATTATACTCAATAAATATCGAGAATGTGACTCTTACGTAAGTGTCATTTTAAAGGTGTGTGTTGATTAACTAAACACAACCATCATTGTCGGCTGACAAATAGAGATACTCAACACTAATCATCCTTATTATGTCGTGATGGT